CAGAACAATAACAATTCGCATATTTCTCTGCACCGTTATATTCACCAGAGCACATGACAGATTCTAGCTAAAATGTTGATCGCCTAGATATCACTCGATGATTCATCCTCCTTCCCATGTATATATTTACTCAAATCATAATATTAGCTTTAGCTCTGCCTTACTGCGCCGCATGCAGTTCGACTATAAATTTGTCTATGTAATTGCTCGTATATACTTATTCGTCTTTCCGCTTCAAATACGCTCGATGTGCTAACAGGTTAGTGATCTGAGCTATCCGCTAATAAACTGTGGTTGCCGCTTCTCTTTGTCTTCTGATTTCAAACACTGTTGAGGTTTATATAATAACGGCTACGAGGGTGATTGGTTGAAGAAGCAAAGCCACTACAGGTTCTGGGTCGCAACAAGCATCATCACAGGAAATGCATCTCCTGCGAAACCCTGTTTCGGATTCAAGAAAGGAAGAACGAGAAGACAGAAATTAATGACAGTCGAATAAGAACAGAGAAATTCAAGGCACAATCTGAATGCGTAGAAGCAAAGAAGCACGTGAAGACGACCATTTGAGGTGACAAGCGAAAATATGTGGAACAGCTAGCAGTGATGATGGAAAAAGCTAAAACGGAAGGAAATATGAGACAACTATGTGACACGACGAAGAAACTGGTAGGCAAGTACAGAAAACCAAAGAGACCAGTCAAGGATAAAGAAGGAAACACAATCACTGAGATTCAAAAACAGAGTAACAGATGGGTGGAACAATTCGACGAACTCTTGAATAGATAAGCTCCATTGAATCCACCGAACATCAAAGCACCACACACAGACCTCCATATACATGTCACTCCACCAACAATCAAACACATCAATTGTGACCATCAGACAAATCAAAAGTGAGAGAGCAGGAATACCTGACATCATACCAGTCGAAGCACTGAAGTCACACACAGAAGCAACTGAAAACATTCTCCACGTAATATTCAGGAAGATTTGAGAGGAAGGACAAGTGCCACAGATAGACTGGAAAGAAGGACAACTCATCAACATACAAAGGAATGAAGATCTGAGCAAATGTGACAACTACAGAGGCATAACACTACTATCAGCACCAGGAAAAGTTTTCACCAGTGTTGCTCAACCGAAGGAAGGACTCAGTAGACGCTCAAATTCAAGTTCAACAGACCGCATTCGGTAAGAACCGATCGTGCACAGACCAAACTGTGAAATTACGGTTCAACGTTGAACAATCAATCAAATGGAACTCGTCACTATGCATCAACTTTATTGACTATGAGGAAGCATTCGACAGTGTAGATATGAGAAGTTGAATGAAATTTCCTCGACACTATGAAATGAGTAGCTGAAAAAATCGTCAATATCATACGGAATTCATACGACGGATTACACTTCGACTCCGTGTATAGTGGACAGCTGACAGACAAATTCCAAGTGAGGACCAGAGTCAAACAAGATTGATTTCTCTCTCTCCTTCTCTCAACTTTCTCTTTCTTCTGGTAGTTGGCTGGATTATGAAGACCTCAACATCTAATGGGAAGCACGGAATACAATCGACAGCTCGGAATCAACTGGATGATTTGGACTTCACAGATCTCCCAGCCCTTCTATCCCATACACACGAACAAATGAAGATCGAAATAAACAATGTAAAGGAAGCCTGTGAATTAGTAGGCCTCAATATACACAAGCGAAAAATCAACATCCTTAAATATAACACGGAGAAAACTAATCAAACAAATCTCATTTGGTGGAGAAACACTGCAACAGATGGAAACTTCCACCTATCTCACTGGTCATCATCATCGATGAACAAGGAGGATCTGATGTAGACGTCAATCCGATGACTAGCAAAGCAACAACAACATTCATACAATTGAAGAACATATGGAACTCAAAACAACTTTCAACCAATATCAAAGTGACAATCTCCAATACGAACGTCAAGACAGTTCTACTGTATAGAGTTGAAACTTCGAGAACCATTATCGAAATGGTACAAGTATTTATAAACAATTGCCTACGTAAGATACTGAATGTCTGTTGACCGGATTCCATCAGCAACACCCTACTATGGGAGAGGACAAACGAGCTTCCGGCTTAAGATGAAATTAATAAAAGATGTTGAGAGTGGACAGAACATACATTACGGAAATCACCAAACTGCATCACGATGAAAATCCTGGCCAAGAATTACGAAAGCAAATGGAGAAGAGGGATACTAAAGAACCCACTGCATCGGGAATTAGAAGCAAACATCAAAAAGATGAATAGCAACTAAAAAGGATCGTCCATGACAGATTTGAATGGAGACTACTTTTGGGTGGTTTACTCTCCTCCACGAGGATTAACAGTCGTAAGTTTTCTGACAATTAAGAATTTATGTTTATAAAAGTCATATGAAACACACTCGATATTGTATCCAACCATATAATATGACATAACACTATTCTATGGTATCCTAATTCCATTCTTTTATTAGGAAGAATTCTAACTACATTGATTCATTTGAATAAGTTTCCTATTTCAATGTTCACCTGACTATTTGTTTTCTTTTTCTTCAATAATCACTTTGTATATAAAAAATCAAACCTTTATCAATCAGTTTTAATTAAATCAATATTTTCAGAATGGGTTTTGTGGAGATTTTTAGAAATTTAACAAGTTGAAATCATGAGTTGATTGAAGCTAGACCACAATGGAAAACCTGGAACCACTGGACGGCCGTTTCGTTCTATTATGGGACTCCTCAGCAGTGCGCACCCACGATCCCGCACCCCACGAGATTCGAACCCAGGACCTACTGGCTTCGCGCGCGAGCACTTAACCACTAGACCACTGAGCTGGCCGGCATCCAACGGTGTTAATGTCTAACTTCAGTCAATCCATGAAGTTGCGCCACCGTACACTATTGTCTTTAGTGAGCTGATATCTCACAACAGACCTGGTTGAACTCCACCGGTAACGGCTTCTCACTAGAACTCCAAAAGTACCTCCTGAAGTCAGTCAATAGTGAGCAGTTGATTATTATCAGAATGGGTTATGTGGAGATTTTTTAGAAATTTCACAAGTTGAAATCGTGGGTCAATTGAAGCTAGATCAGTAGGTCCTGAGTTCGAATCCCGTGGGGTGCGGGATCGTGGATGCGCACTGCTGAGGAGTCCCATACTAGAACGAAACGTCCGTCCAGTGGTTCCAGGTTTTCCATGGTGGTCTAGCTTCAGTTGACTCATGATTTCAACTTGTGAAATCAATATTTAATAAAATCTAGCTTATTAGTAATATAAAATACAGTCTTACTGATAATTATGAAATATGTCATAACAGAAATGTAAGTTTTATCCATAGTTTCTCAAAAAAGCTCACTCAAATAAATATCTAAAGAATTGAAATATCTATAAATAACTAAGAAAATCAGTTGATATTTCAAGCATTTTAAATTTGGTTAATTTTAGTTTAGTTACCATGATCAAATGAATGACATTTTATTTAGATCTTTTTTTTCGTGTGTGGTAAAAATAAATTCAATTCCCTTTTTTTTCTTCACTTGTATCCATGTAAAATGATGAGTTTCTGTTCATTTTTCAATTGTTTTTATTAACTCATTCATTTATATTCTTTGTTTTATACACATACAGAATGAGATCATTTTGCATAATTTATCAAAGAACATAGAGATTTTATTGATTTCACTATCAATAAAAACAGCCAATGAAAAGTTTATTGATGGTTTAATATGTGAGTAATAAAAATGTTGATGACTGAAGTTAATACAAGACAACAACCATGAATGTAATAAGATCTGAAGAAGTAATTTGAAAGGTTGGATAATGTCTTCGAAGATAATGGTTAAAGTGTTTTCCTTATTTTGATGATAAGTGTGTACAAAAAATGGTAGATAATCAAATTCTAAAAATCACTCATCATTCAATATTGTGATGATTTTCTGGTTCATTAGTGAGAATCGAATCCAATGATCAAGTCAGTCGCGACCCAGATAGCTTAATGGTAACGCCCTAGATGTGAAGTTAGTTGACATGAGTTCAAATCCTATAAAGCACCACCCTTACCAAACTTATAGGTATGCTTTGTTGATAAGTGTCAATTAGCACGAAACCTATTTCCATCGGTTTCTGTTCCTTAAACCACCTAAAATAATCGAATTCTTTGAGTAAACTACATTTTGAAATAGGTGTAATGGTTATTTTAGTTGTATCAGCGAAATATATATGACGGTTAGACGAGACTACAATTAATGGACGACCCTTTAAACGAATCTTAAGTGACCTTTAGAAATTTCAACTAATCAGAAAGAAGTCGGTATAGAGTAAGAATATATTATACAAAACCAAAAAAGGAGTGTAGACACTTTTTAAACATGATTTGAAAACTCTTCAAGGTTAGAAAAAGGCACTGCAGTTCTGAAATCGTAATGCATACGATACAGGAACTTATCCATGTGACTCCATAGTAGTCGACCTCTGGAGCCATGATAAGATCGCAAGCATTCTTTTAGCCTTAAACATTGAGGAAATTATAAAACTGCATCATAAAGCAAGCGCTAACTTGAAATTATGAAAGGAAATAGAAAAGTGTAATACCAAAGAACCCACTGTGTCGGGAATTGGAAGCAAACACCAAAAAGATGAATAGCAACTGGAAACAAGTAGAAAGGATTGTCCAGGACAGAGTTAGATATAGAATGTTGGTGGGCAGCCTACCTACGCTGCTTCACGAGGAATAACAGGAGTAAGTAAATAAGCCATTAAACGGTATTATGTTGTCACAATTTTCGTATTACATAATCTTAATACACAATTTTTATTATCTATCTAAAAGTAACAACTAGTTGTGTCACATGATATATTCTCGTCTTCGGATATATATATATATATATATATATATATATATATATATATATATATATATATATGTACATACTACATAATGATGTCATAGTGGCTAAATTTGTTAGAAGAATCAAAGCCATTGAAGAAATTAATAATATTGTTCCCCTTATCATTAAGACATTCAACATCTATAAACTGAATAACAAAACATATTGATAGTGGTTTATGTAACCAGTCATAATAAGTAATAATAATAATAATAATAATAATGATAATAATAATAAATCAGTAACACCAGCTGACTTCAATAAAAGAAAATATTAAATACACATATTTAAGGCATCATTCGTAGAAACTAAACAATTTGCTAAAAAAGTAAATGAGCAAAATGAACATTTTGGCATTACATAAACGATTCTAAAAAGAGAGAATATAATCAATAACAAAATAACGGTTTTGACAAAGAAAGAATAAAATGTTTGTCATTATTAAAATGTTCCAAAACAACAACAGCAACAACAAGAAGAACAATTTTACATAATAACTAACGAAATAAAGAATGGATAAACGGCTATTTATAAAATACAATAGCGCTTAATGATGATAATGTTTCAGGCACAATTAAATTAGATGGAAGACATAAGAATAGAGCAAGGAGTAGAATAATTACTCTTTTGGTAAAAATTTTGAAATTATTGTCGTAATTCTAATGGAAACTAGATAAATACATCATCTAGTGTATTTGTATGTGTATTTTTAAGTTTGTACTCATTAACGAACCATAAGTAGAGAGAAAATCTATAAAAAAACAGAGCATGCTAACAGTAATAGCATGAAGGAAGGTGAGATGAGGCATAAACTGGAAATAAGACTTCATCACGAAGGAATTAAAAGATCAACTGCATTAGAAAAAAAACGAATTTCATGGTAAAGGACAAGTTACACGGACGAAATTTGTTGGGAAATGACCTTCTTGTCCATTTAGCTCACCCAAATACCAGTTGTCATCAATCTAGGTTTTTTTTTGTAAAAAGAAGAAATGAACAAACATAATGAAGAACAATGGAAGACAAAGTTACGGTAGAGTATAAGGTGATACCAAGACTTAGGTCTAGCAGTTAATTAATTATTGAAATGAAGTGAAATGTACTATTACCGGTCGATCTTTATGTTATTTCTAAACATTGTCTGCGATGTTTACTTTATGCTCTGTACTATACTATGTATTCCGTAATATGACGCAATTTATGATTATTCTTACATCTAGAATATTTTATTAAAAGCAGCTTTTATTCCTTTCACTGCAATACATTGAATCGATCTCTCCGACTTTTGATTATTTTGTATATGATAACCATTTGAATTTTGTTTGTTTCATTGACATAATCAGATAGTGTTTGTCAACTGTCTGTACGCAAATATACAGTGCTGTGGTTTTAGACAGATTTCGTAGTTTGACCTTGAGGTTTAAATGAGTAACTTACTTGTCGGATTAAATTACTGACAGGGAATCTATAGTCAGCTTATCTAATTTAGCTGGAAAAAATCAACTGAGCTTCCAACCTCTATAGAAAAACTTCCAAAGAAAATAGGAGAGGGAACTTTTTCACATCAGAGTTCACACAGAAACCGATTGGTGAAATTCACCAATCAGCAAGATATCTGTTTAAATACTGACATCAACAAATATTATGCTCTACACATTAATATCAAATCAATTTCGCCAACATCAGACTGCTATACGAACACAGGATGTTAATCAAATAGAGTACAGATTCAAGAAACCACACGAATTGGACTAGACATCTTAATTAACGTATAAGAAAGAGTTGTACGTTTGAAAACTATTACACAAATAAATACATTTAACTCAGTAACAAAACACAAGTTCTTAGATTATCATCTGAATGAATAAACATTCATATAGTGAAAATGAACAGTTGTATACCTGAAACCAGTGATTCGAAGTCAAATGCTTGGACCATCAAATCTAATCCTCAGAGTAACGAGAATACCACCACGAGAAAATCATTACTTACACGTGTTAAGTGCACAAATAAATATTAAGGTATAACAGAATGACATTTTATTAAAAAAAAGAAACTAGTTAATTACATAAATGAAATAAGAAGACAACATTTAAAAGTTATACCTGTTCAATTAAGTTGATCGATTCGCCCTTACAAAAAGATAGTTCAAAAGGACTTTCAGCAGTGAAATTATACAAAGCAACACATTGAGGTGTTCTTTTTGAATGATCTATATTAAGTTACATGGGAAGGGGGGGAAGAAGGAGATAAACGATGAAAAAAATCAAGACAACCTAGTTAGCTAAAAATGAACTAATCATGTATTATACATTCTAAGGAAAACAATGAGTTCTTCAAAAGAGAGCGACATTTTTAGAGTTGTTTGCATTTTATTTAGAAAGTAACCTAGTTTACCAGTGGTATATTCAATGACATGATAGGTAATTCCTAAAACTCAACGTAAACGAGGTCAGTTGAAGGTTGAGTAGTTTAATGTTAATGTTACAGACTGTAAAACTAAGTGATACGGGTTTGAACCTCACAACGAGGATCAGTTTTCTTAAGATTATAGGTATGCCATACTAACAAGTGCCAACCAGCTCAAAACCTATGTCCAGCGTTTTCTATTATCTACCTTCAACCACCTGATATAGAATATTACGTAAACAAGTGTGGTAATCAAACAAAAACATACCATCGTATTTTGGCTTTATTTGGAAATTTGTAGACTCGTGACATAATGACGGTATATCTGGTAAAGCATCATTTGAACTAACAGGATATGGAGTTTGTCGTCTTGCATGATCACACCTAAAAAAGACGAAACAATGAAACACATCTGTAGTACACTAATGATATATTTAAGAATTGGTAAATAAATAAGAGCTGGACACCAGAAAATCACCAGTACTGTAATATAGTAAATTATCGATTTTGAAAAATTATATTCCAAGGTAAAACATTTTCCTTTTAATCTATTTATAATTATATTTCTTCTTCAAAAAAATACTACTGAAGAACAAGATGAGTAGCTGAAGATACTAACATGCTCTAAATATCAACATCATTCTGTCAGCAAATTAGACATATTCACTCACTAGTTTACTCATAGTCATTACACTATAGATATTAATTTTGTGCTAATCTAATTCCAAACAATTTACAGATTGTAAGCAATTGTAATAATTAAATAAATTAGTTTTATAATTAATAGTGTCGAAAATAAGTACAATCAACTGTTTATAAAACACTATATGTGATAGCATCGAAAAGCCACTCAAATGCTCTGGTACAACCAAGGGTAAGTAATCCACTCTCCTTCTCGAAATGCCCTCATATAACCAAGCATAAGTCCAACTTACTGCCTTCACAGGACGGGGGTGTTTACGAGATCGAGAGGACGAAAAGCGGATATCCGGTGCTTAAACCAGGTTGGTAGGTACGAAAATTCCACCCGGAGTTGGAAAAAGCTCATTCCAAATCATGGTGCACATGGGCTCCACAATCCAAGGGGAGCCAATGGCGTATGAACATATTCTTGGTCTTGATAATGTAATAAGACGGAGATTATCAGAACTATGTGATATATTAGCGCAATACATTTCGAACAATTTGATCACACATATACATGTTAAGAACATTTATATATGAAAATAAAAGGTCAGCTAGACTGGAAATGGGGGCAAGAGGAGACAAGGATAATAATAATTGCTTTAAATATTCTTGGTCACAGACTACCATGGGACTGCATCTGTCAACGTTACTCCATTGCCTTATGGATTGGATCTCTAAGTCAAAGGCTCAGGGAGTAGCTCCACAGAAAAAACCACCTATGCCAGTTAACACACACAAACAGTATCTCAACCCACAAACAAATTTAATAATAACTACTTTGTGTGACGCATGTACATTTTGGTGCCCATTCGTACCAATGTTTATGTGGTTAAACAAATGTTTAAAGAAAAAAATATAGAAACCATATCTAGGTGACCAAATATTGGATTAAAATTAAATTTGCATTGTTAGTAGGTCCTGAGTGCTGTTAGAGGTATGAGTGAAAATCTTTTCGATCTTTTATCTTATAATACACAATAATTTTGGGTCGGACATAAAAAAAATTATTGCTTTAAAAATCAGTGCTTGGAGAAAAAATAGCTAAAAAGTAACAATGAATACACACATTATGTGGTTGTTATGTTGAACGAAACAGCCAAAGAAAATTTACATTTATGAAATATGTAAAATATCAAATGATCTAAATCGGTGCATCTCCATCGAATAGGATCAATTTATCTACATAATTCACATATAGATAGAAGAATGTGAAGACAAAATATCATCACCTGAACCGTCATCAAGAAAATGTTACCATTAAAAATAAACTTGTGAAAAAACTGAGTGGAGAAAAAGCACTTCAGAATTTTTAAACACCACTTGACGAAATCACTTTGAATTACATAATTTGTTAAATATTTGGTATGTTTAACATGTTCTTGAAGAGTCCCTCAGTCTAGAGCGAAACGAATATGTGAAAACAAGAGTAAGGATGTTAAAATGAAAACAGAATTAATTGTTGAAGTTAATGAAAGGTGATTTTAAACATATGAAAGAAAACATAAGTCTGAAAACAGAGTCTATTCAAACCCCACCAGTAGTTCTCGAACAGAGAGCCTGTACAAAGTTATTGCCAGTCATGTTCAACGTAAAACCGGACATATATGTGTATTGCTTCAAGTTGTCAAACCACATTAGTACAGCGAGATAAAGTTATCAAGACAAATCACAAAGAGGCAAAATTAGCAACAATATCAGCAGTATTAGAAAAGATTAGGTGCAGTACAAGTAAAAAAAGGTATAAGATTTCAGGACTCAAGGTTTAAAAGGAGATGAAAAGTGAATGAACCTGTGGCAATGAGAACGATTCTGAGCCGTATTACCCAAAGTCTCTAGTTACTGGTTATAATAATCAAGGGGATTCAAATCAGGTGATCTAAACCTATTACCATGGTTCAGTTCAATTCACAATGGCTTTACGAAAGGTTACTGTGCTTCTTTCGTATGCACTATCATCAGAATCGAATGCAGCCTTAAGGTCGAGAAATACATTTATGGTTGAGAGGGAGTAGGTATGTCTATGTTTCATAAACCGACGAAAGGTGAATATTTGGTCTACACATTCGAATCGAGGTGTGAAATCAGCCTAGTTTTCCCGAGTTCGCTCTTCACGAGCCCTAGTTAAGTGTTGGATGATTATTGAAGCTAATATTTTAAACACTATATAAGTCAAACTGATTCAGTTTGATTACTAAAAGAGGGTTTTTATTCCTTCTTAAAGCTTGGTACGATCAGAGATCGAGAGTAGTTAGGTGTGATTCCGTTCAGTTCCTAGATCCTGGCTAATACCTCAGTCAATCAGACAGCTAGAACTAGAGATCACCATGCTTAAAGCTCTCGTAATTTAACCGTTCAGGACTTGTCTGCCAGTCTGCATAGTTTTAGATCATTTATGGATTTTTCAACTTTATTGACCGATTCATCACTTCATTACATGCCAATTTCCTCCTAATTAGCCTATTATAACGACTAAAAACCAGTCAAGATAAAATAAAATATGCGAATAGCAGTAATGAATAGTAAAATTACTAACAAGAATTGTTACATATTTTGTACACGTGACAATACAGGATAAGGTTACAGCGAAAATTATTGACATAAGCTGGTAAATTAGCTTTACACAGTGATATAAAAAATAAGTCAGTAAAGCAATGTATGTAAGTAATCTACTAGTCAATTAAGGAGGAAGTTTTCTTATAATTAATGTAACTAAATGTAAAAGGATACAAAAGTATGTAACGACTAGAATAATACATAAGAAAAGCAAACACTAAATAATAAAATGAAAATTAACTAATGAAAAAAATATATATATATACCGAGTTCCAGAGTGAACATCAACAGGTACACCCAGCTGACGAGCCCCGAATAGAACGGAACTCACGTCCTTAATTATACGCCTAGTCATCATCCATCTCTTCTACATATGTAGAAGAGATTAAATAGTGAAAAAATTGTATACATTCAAGTATTAAATCAAGTACAGTTAATGACTTCACATAAAGAATACAGAATGCAAGTAAGCGAACAAACAATCATTCACATATACAGACGAACATTTCCAGTAAAATGTGTTATTCACTAATCTAACTAATAATTTAGTATAACGAATTAGATATTGGAAATAGAATTTATGAAGTGTGTAAATAATATGATCAAGTGTAAAATGATAGACTTTCCTATTTTATAAGTAAAAGAAATTTTTTCACAATGAATCATAAACAAAGAATTTAGAATGATCAAATTAATGATTTTCAATAGTATAAGAGGTAGAGTATGTGTGCATTAATTTTTATATTGTTGCATAAATCAGAATAAACAGTTTTGTGATGAGTGGAACATTTATAGTTTTACTAAGTGGTTTAAAAACAACAAAACAAAAACCATAACCAATTATTGGTCAGTAGATTTTATTGAAATATCGTCTGATTGTCCTGATAATGTATTAAAGTATAGCAACTTGAACTAATATGTGTTATTGCCAAATACTATATTATTTATGTCGAATTGTTTACTATTGGTCAAAGAGTGAATAGATTGCGAAAAACAACAATAAGAGGACAGATGGTAAAAAACAAATAACATGAAAAAAAATAAATGAACAGATCGAGGATACTAAGCTGTTCAATACCAATCACAATGGTGCTAGTACGATAGAATCCTGACAAATCCGCTTTTTGGCCAAGATTAGATCTTAATATGAGGAGTGGTTCATTTTTAAACAATCAGCGCGAGTTGATAAATCGAAATTGTATGTATATATTCTGATTTGGGAAGAGTGTTGTGACATACAATGTTTAATGAAGTTCAATAGGGTGATTAGAATGAGACATCCACTACGTCATATACAACCGTTCGGTAACCTGGATAGGACACAGAAGATATCAGTCAGCCAGTGAGCTATAACGTAGGATCAGGTAAATATATGCATCTGACCACGTTACCACACCTCATTAGCACAACATCAACACCAAATTCATACAAATACTTACTTCAATGATAGCAATATATAAAAGAAAGATTGTGTATAAGGATATAATACAGGAAAACAGAACTGGTTCGTAGGAAAAAAGGTATAAAATAATTTTAATCTCATGGTTTAAGGAAAGACAGAGAGTATATACACCGACGCCATCATGATCGATTATGAGCCATGTCACCCAAAGTCTCCAACCATTGGTTACGATAATCACGCAGATCACTAGCAAGTAGTCCGCATCTTCTAACATGGCTCAGACCAAAAGTAAGTTACTTCAATGACTGATGCCACCTTTTGGTTTGGTCACCCCTAACTTTCTTCCAGCCATCTCCAATACTAGTCAATATTGTGCGTCGTGGTGAACGGTGTTCAGGCATACGTGACAGGTGGCCAAACCATCTCACTCGATGAAGATTTACAATCTTATCAACTGATTTACCCTCATTCCTTAATACCCTGCATCTAACCTCATTATTACTTACCCGATGATCCCAGCATATACGAGTAATATTTCCAAGACATCTGTAATCAAATACTAGTAGCTTACGAGTATTTTCTACTTCTAATGTTCATGTTTCGCAGACGTAAAGTAGAACAGAACGAACTGCTGCACAGTACATTCGCCCCTTAATTGATAGACGGAAATTATAATTGGGAAGAGAAGGCTTAGCGTGATAAGATAAAATGTTGAAATTGAGATGGACTGTAATCAGAAGGATTTCAGAAACAGAAATAAATCAGTTTCGGGTAAAACGTCTATGGAGAAAATAGAAAGAGAAAATGGTGGCGATGGAAGAAAAGCATGAAGAAAATTATGAGATGTTAAGACCATGGCAAAAGAAGAGGTTGTACCAAATTCTCTTAAATATATAAGTCTGGTTTTACCAGTTGTATATTAATTGCTTTTGCAGTGTTAAGAAGATACAATATAACTGCTTTCGGCAGTTTTCTACTTCAATTGATTGAAAAATCTTTGTTCACAAGGTGGTTAATTACTGAGCTGTCTCCACCTCATTTTTAGCCAAGCAGAGTAATTTTCTTGAATTCTTCTGGATAAAGTACGTATCAAACTGATAAGTCATGCGAATTGAACGCTATATTCGTTTCCTAAGCTATTCTGGAAACCCACAAGCTAGAACTACACAGCGACCTGAACACCACAGAGAGGACGCAAAGTATGAGAGAAATACTTTACTACAAGGTTCATTTTTGTACATAACACATGGATATTTATATATGTTAGCGTTTGTTAAATCAACATCATTCCACAGCACAGTTAAATGCTATCTCTCGACAAAACGGTCGAACAATCGCCTTGATGGAGAACTTTTACAATATTTTTATCGGCGGGACTCACTAATGGTTGTCGACTCGTGTATTATGTTCGGTGATCGAATTGTTATTCCGAAGTTGTTACGTCACAGGGTTCTCAAGCACTTTCACAGTCGCCATCCTGGAATCAATAAAATGAAATCGTTGGCTCGTAGTTATGCTTATTGGCCGTCAAGCCGCTAAAAATCCTTTGAAATGCGAACCTCAGTATTGGCCTACGCTTGCAGGACCTTGGGTAAGACCTCATGCAGATTTCGCTGGTCCAACCCAAGGAAAAATGTTTCTAATTATCGTAGATGCATTTACTAAATGGCCGGAAGTATATACCATGCCGAACTGTACAACATCAGAAACAATCCAAAAGTTGTCTACCCTGTTTAGCTGTTTCGGAGTACCAGAGACCTTAGTAACGGATAACGGCTCGCATTTTGCCGCAGAATCGTTTAAGCATTTCTGTAGAGCAAACGGAATAACTCATTTTCGTCCTCCACCCTATCATCCACAATCAAACGGACAAGCAGAACGCTTTGTGGACACATTTAAACGAGTATTACTGAAAAGGGGGGCGAAGGGACGACTGGGCAGGTAATCACAAAACTTTTAACATCCTACAGATCCACCCCGAACCCGAATGTTCCAGACGGCAAGTCTCCTGCGGAAGCCATGTTCGGAAGGCGTATTCGAACCGTCTCCAGCGCCATGTTGCCATCCAAATGAGTGGATGAGAGCAGTCACAATCCATGTATCCGGAACTTTAATGTTGGCGACAAAGTTTTCATTAAATCCTACATCGAGAAGAACCGATGGGAGCCGGGAGAAGTTGTACAAAAATTGGGAAGAGTTCTGTACAGAGTCCGAGGAACTTTTGGAACGTGTATACGACACACAAATCAAATCCATAAGGACAAAAGAACGATGCAGACTCGAAAAAACCGGCCGAATTTTCCGTTAGAGTTAATCTTAGATATACCAATGCCACACAAGCCCAAGAACACTGAAAAGAAGCCTCAGACAAGGAAGACGTCAAGAATAATGGGACGCCGCCGCAACCCAGTTGTCAAACTACAAGTAGATCCTAGAAAGAAATCTTATTCGGGGGAGGTGTTGAGTCGACTTTCGGAGAACTTCAACGGAGCCTCCAGAGGCCCAAAAGGAGCCGAAGAGTCCTTGCCAATCAGAGTACGATGGAGCATTCTAGAATTCCGATGTGGCGTGCTATTATTGGTCAGTAGCATAATATGTCGTTAACGGATTGGCCGAAATATGATGTTGATTTAACAAACGCTAACATATATAAATACCCATGTTTTATGTACAAAAATGAACCTTGTAGTAAAGTATTTCTCTCATACCTTGCGTCCTCTCTCTGGTGTTCAGGTCGCTGTGTAGTTCTAGCTTTTGGGTTTCCAGAATAGCTTAGGAAACGAATATAGCGTTCAATTCGCAAGACTTATCATAAACGACCTATATACCTGGCTCCACATGAACAAGTAAGTTTATAAATTGGCAAACAGTTGGTCATATGAGATAATATATCCTTAAGATCATTGATCGGCTGAAGAACAGTATTCGCGAAGTTGCTGTGGAGAAAGTTCTGTTTAGAGAATCATAAATTCTCCTCTTTAGGACGTCTGTAACTCCATCGCCCTTAAAATCGATGTTTATGTAAAGTGTTTTCTTTTCAACCGAGTTTATTTATGCTCTAGGCGGTTTAAGTTTTATATTCTTGCCAATAAATTTTAAATAGAACGAATACAGTAGGATAATAAAATAAAATTGAATAACTCCCATATTGTTCTAATTCACAATATGAGATTGTTTGAAATTTTACAGTCGTGTGGGGATCCGATTACGTTTAAGGTATTCAATGAGTTTCTAAAGTTTAATCCCCGTTCCACTGAGCCAAAAACTTTATTTAAAAAATACAATTAAAATGTATGTTTTCAGTTGATCATTTTTTCCTATATCAAAAATAAATCCGAGTTTATCAACCATAGTAACAATAAAAATTGATTTTAATGAACAAATTGGTTCATTTTTTTCCATATTTTTAAACAAAAAATCATTCTGACAGAAATGCAGTACACAGACTTACGCATCCAGCAATCTGAAAAACAAAGAAAGTATGATAAGCAGGATGTATACAATACTAATGAGCACAAATAATCAATATATATATATATATATATATATATATATATATGCAGTGACGCATTGGAGATAGTTGAAAAATTCATGTATCTGAATAGTTGTGTAAGTACTGGTGTTGAGTGTGGTGAAAAGATTTACGTAGATAAGGTGAACACCAGAACAGCTTACACCAATATGAACCATCTGCGACGCCTGTCTGTAAGAGGTTACATCTAAAACCCGCCGGTTAGAGAGACTCGGTTATATGATCTTGCATGGTAAGGATGTCAGGGGACTCTATGAGTCCGGTCCTGATTGTCTCCGAAGGTGACAACGCCATTTTAGGGACGTTGACATCTCAAAGCGTGTTCATGTCAGGGAGCAATTAGTGTTACGATCTTGAAATATTCGCTTCGGTAGTTCGGTTATTCTAGGGGTTTCCACGTCGTGCATTATTGCTCTTTATAAAAGTGAGAGGAATTCCCTTAATTGAACAAGTTCTTTCGTCACTATATTTCTAACTAAGATATATTTCCTATTAACGTAATCAGAATTTGATGATACATATTTATTGAGATATTTTAAGCATGTAATAATTTACAATAGTGATAAACAAACTGGTGATTTCGTGATCATGAACGACTGTCGTTGCTATAATGGTTTACACACATCAAACAAGCAATTATGTGTAGAAACGATAGATCAGGGGTAGGCCTCAAGAACACTGAAGATATAATATCAATTTAGAATGTTACTAGTTATTGATCCAAAACAAGTGAGTCTGTTTGGACCTTGATAACTAATCTAAATTAGATGGATAACAAGGGTATTTACTACAATGTTCAGAATTAAATAAAGTCTAAGATTACAGTCAAACCTCAAGTACTTATAACTACGTGGTTGAATGGTACTTCTAACAGGTGGTGTTAAAAGTGTCAAGACCTAGGACTTATGTATTTAGACACACCATGAAATACACCACATATCGTTAATTTCCAGTTTTACGGAGAAATGAACTAAGAAAAATAACGCAAGAATATGATAGTAAAGAACATCGTCTAAATAAAAACACGGTCAAAATATGCTTCATCCCATTCAAAATACATCTTGCTATGGAATGCATGATTAAAAACAATGTGATTTTGATTTAAACATCAACGTTGAATATTCTTCCCGCTTTCGACTATTTTCGCACCCTTCTAGTATCAACAAACTACAAGTTATAGATGTTGTTGGAATGTAACACATAAAACATGTTGAATTTGGTAAAAACCGATGCTTCAGTATGATATTGATATATGAGTTAGAATCCCCAAACGCCAACATGGTAGACAATCAATCAACACGATAATTTGTGTTGAATTATTTATAAATACAAATGTTACAACACATTTTATACGTATTATAATGTGATTTTTTTTTCATTTCCTTTCACTTGAGAAGTTATAGTAGATCTGTAGTTATATAAATGAGAGATACTTAGTTTATTTTCAGTCACGTAAATATGTTGCGACCGATACACTTGACGGACATACATGGTTGTTATTAATGCTGAAATTGTCAAGGACTTCATTTTAATGTTACAACACAATTGTATAAATAAACACCGCAGATCATATCAAGGTGGCATGATATATGATAACAAAAGGACTCAGGTAAACATGACATTGGTCATTAATTAATGCGTTTAATGCTGTCGCGCCTAAATGGGTTACTCTGGATTTTGAACAGAACAACTGATTTATTCTCCGTAGTTCATTGGCCGTACATACATTGAAAATATCAACTAATCGCTTTTAACCTTGACTGTGTTTATTTGAGCCTATATGTATGCCTATCCTATAGTCTATTATTCACATGTATTTATTTTTCTGTTTGGGTATAAATAGTGAGTCACGCTCTGTCAGCTGAGGTTGGCACGCTTACCTTCTCCGCTTCTCTCCTCATCTTGAAGTCTGTTTGAGTAAACAAGCGCATGAAAGAAATTAATCCATGGTTTTTAATTACCGCCATCACTCAAACAGAGTAGCCTAAGTAGAATGTACGGAATTAATTAGAAGATTTATGTTCATGACTCCTTTGTAGTACGATCAAAAATGGATCTCGGGCCACCAAAACATTCAGTAGTATACTAAAATAAACTAACCTCATTTCAAGTTCTCCATGTAGATCGGATAAAATTCGAGCAGCATCCTGATAGAAGCTTAATTGAGCATTAACGAAATTAGACAAAGTTTTGATTTGTTCAACCTTGATGTTTGTAACGAATTCGTGCATGAACAAAATGTGAGCATGTTAAGTAGATAGTAAAAATAAAAGTCAAAACTTGGTTAAATACAACGGATAAAAGTCTATCACTGGACAAACTTGTTGAATAGATCGATGTAAATTTGCTCCATATTGAAAAAAAACTTGGTGATATTTGATAACTTCAAGTAATCACAAACAAATTTATATACTAGGTTATGAAATTACAATTCATAAATAATGGTTACTGATAATTCCAGTCGTAGCTGCTATCTTATTGTGGTGATCGAACTTTCCTATCTTGATGACTCATTCAAGCTATACTGGCTGAAACACCTGTTTCTTTAAACTCTGTCAGTCAGCTACACCGTAGAGCCAGGCACACATATACATTGGTCCAAGTTACCATACCTTTTTGGCCCTACCATGCTAATCAGGTTGGTTGAAGAACGGTATGACTAAAAGTAGAAACTCAAAGTCCCAAAACGAAGATGTTCTACTGACGGCACTAAGGTGTGAAATTATTACGATGTTTACTTTAGATAATTGACATCCACAGTGACACTGCCCTCTTCCAACCAAGAAAGAGGTAGAAATGTTCAGCTCTAAAAATACCACACCTCATCTTAAGCCATAGATTTCCGTCGCTAACAGCAAAGCATTTAAAGTGCACAGCTAACGACTAGGAGAATGACCACGTTTGATCGGTCCTGAGCAGTTGTCCCTTGGGCTCTGAGGTCACGCTTCTAGGTAGTCAAGATCACTACTAACCCAGTTTCTTTCCAGATCTCTCAAGAAGTATCCTTCCAAGGTCTTTAACTTTTTATGCCACCCAACAAAACATCTAGATACTTATATCCTCAAGATTAAATAAGTATTCATTAATTGTGACACAAGGGAACCTTAGAGTAAAAACTATTTCATCCATAAAACTACAATTTTATGAATGAATATGTGATCACATCACTAAACATATGGCTGCTAATCACGTTTTATAACTAACAGTTAAATAATTTTTAAAAATGACAATTCAGGTTAATCTACCAGAGAATCGATAATAGATAAATACAATGCAGTCACTATATTACAGCAATGGAAATATTTTTGATAGAACAGTTGTTGAGTTGCAATGTTGTTTTTCTAGGTCTAATACATCACTAAGCCAAATGTATAAGCCTCCGCAAACGAATGGTTTAAGTAAACCAATTTAACGGCGAAAATAGTACTTGAAAATTACAATTCGAATTATTAATATGAACTAATCGTTATTTAAAGGGTCATTGACCTGATCGTAGCTTCCACCTTAACTTGATGACCAGGTTTGTCTATCGTGATGACTTAACCGGGCTATATTCGCTGAAATACATGTTTCTTTAGGTCCTTTCATGCCAAGTAGGTCGGTTGGAGAAGTCATATTGCTGACTGTAGAGTGGTGGGACAGCAGTAAGGTATTTCCATCGGACAACCAGCATCTGCAGTGGTTCTGCCTCCTCAGAACGGAAGGAAGGGGTCAACCGTAAAAATATCACACCTTACCTTACCCCATAGATTTCCATCTCTGACGTTAAGGTCTTTCAAAGTGCGAAGGTAACACATCAAGAACTTCTCATAAAAAGGGCGCACATGATCGGCCTCAAGCAATTGTCCCTTGGGCCCTATGTTCATACCCCTTGGTCGCTGAAATCATTACCAATTCAGTTTTTTCAGGTCCCTCAAGAAGAAATATCCTTCCACGGTGTGGTAAACAGGAAAGTAAAAACCCGCTCATACCTCTATCAGCACCCGAGATCATCTTGCTGACGATCGAATTCCTCCCTCACCTCTTGATAATTCCTCTATCCGCACCACTAACCCCTCTCGTATATCTTTATCACCACACACCACCAACACCAGTGATTTGAGTTCACGAAATGTTATTCCTAGTCTCCTGAAACCACTGTCTAAACTACATGTTGTAGCTTCTAATAGGGAAATAGGCTTCTTTAACTATGACTCCAGAATCTTGCGCCATCCATGTATTTTGCGTCTTCGAAACGCACATACAGGATTCACATATAGTCATCCGTTTGACCTCGCCTTCTCAGTATAAGGAACCGACACGATTTACCCTTCGAGTATCCTGGATTCCAGCTGCTACTCCCCATGATTTCACTGGTATAGGTTTTGAATTAAATACAAAAGCAGGACAAGTTATGTTAGATTGTGTCCTAATAGGCAGTCGTTTGTGCGCTGTCATACGAAACAGAATGGTAAGAAATCGGGAAAATATACACATGCCGATGCCTTTTCGTTGTCATTGCCTACGCTTCCATCGATTCGCAGCTTGGATGATGATTTACAGTCTCATCAACTGATTTACCATCATTTCAGTTCAGTGAAACTCATGGAAATATGTGCTCGAACTAGAGCACGATGTGAGCCTAAACATAGGTTCTACAATGAGCGACAGTCCTGACGAGTTTCTCTAACGATGGTTGATGGCGATGTGGTTTATTTCGGTCGATTGTGGGATTCGTCACGTCAGACGATGTTTCTCTTTTCTCTAAACATAGGCTCACAACATGTTCTAGTTCGAGCACATATTTTCCTGAGTCTCACTGGACGTAAAGGAGCCACAGAAAGAAAACCCCTTAGAGTCCAACTTAATGATGAAAACGCTAAGAATATATTTCGGGAACGAGAGATAGAGCTAGTCAACCGCGAATATGATAACCACCCCGAGGTGGCTTTACATGACATCTAGAAAGCTATGGAAACAGCAGTAATATCTACTAGTGATTTAAACCTAAAGGTTAGGAAAAATCAATGGGTTTCTGGAACAGAGACATAATTTTCGACTTCCAACTGTTGTTGCATTCCTTGAACTTAATGAAGCATCCGACTCCATTGATCGTGAAGTTCTGGGGCAATGTAGGTCATTGAAAGGTGTCCCAAAAAAGTGCAGTAACCTCGTGCAGGCTTTTTACTCCAACACTATCTTTCGGGTCAGAGCTTATACTGAACTGTCATTGAGATTGGTTACTTTCAGTGGTGCTCAGTACGGTTGTCCGCTCTCCTCATTTTTATTTATTTGCTTCTAGAAATAACAATTTCAGAATTCCTCCTTCTACCAGAAGATTTACTTGTTGACTTAGAATACTCAGATCGTATAATTTTTTCTGGTAAAGACGCTAACAAAATGCTGTCTTCTTACCACCTTAAGCAACAACGCAACCATATTTGGGATGTGGTTTTCTGCATCCAAATGTAAAATGTTAATTCAGGATTGGCTTGTGTAATCACCTGAATTAATGATAGGGAGTGAAACAGTTGGACATATCAACCGCCTCACTTATCTTAGGAGCTTAATCGGTTCTGATGGCCTGGAGTCTGACGATGTACATACGTACCAGGTTCCATGTTGCGACTGATTAAAAAATACTATGAGATTAAAATCGTTTCATATACTTATTTCTACGGACTAATTTTTTCTTCCTGTACTATGTCCTTATATGTAATATTTCTTTTATACATTACCACCATTGAATTAACTACTTCTATGAATCCAGTGTTCATCTTGTTGTGCTAATGAGGTATGGAAACTTGGACCGATGCATATATGTGCCTGGTCCTACGTTGTAGCTGACTGACTGACTGATTAAAAGAACACTGAAATACTTTTTAAAGAATAACTACCATTTTATCAGACAAACACTTGCCCGTTGCTTGACATATATTGTTTTTGAATATATTAATTTATTTTGCAAAAAATACGGCCAAATTCCATATAAGCCAATCAATCTGTAATCAAATTTTAATAGCTTTACGACAATGCTATCAGCTTTAATTGATTGAAGTTTAATAAGGTGATGTACGAAGGATACTTCAGCAAACCTTGAGATGGGATCCAAAGCAAACTATTATTAGTACAGACGACAAAAGTACATGTATATCCCGAATTCGCCAAGCTCGATGATGGAGGCAAAAACCAGTAACACGGATTCTTACTAATCTTGTTGTGTGTGCTACTTATATCGACATAAGGAGTATATGATGTTAAGTCAGAAAGAGAATGTCTGGCAGCAGAGAGACAAGTGGATCGAACAGTAAAGAATAAGAACAGAATGCAATTTGTATGAAAATGCAAGAACAATGAAGTCTGAGTCACTATGAGACAACCGATGGACATTTTGCAAATTACGTATTTACCATTTGATTGTTAGATTTTATTAACAAGTCCTGTAATTTTGTATCAAGTACATTCGATTGTCCCCACCCGTGTTCTGTTCACTACAACCTCTCCAAAGTGTTCAATATTAATAAATTCTATCACACATTTGAAACCAATACGCTAGCTGCTACACTCCGAACATGATCGATCAGCGCAAAAAATATTAGATATTGATTGCTAGTTAAGATATACACATGTATCGATCAACTGCTTAATTATTCTGATCATGTCAATTTTTATTGTCAGTTATTTTTTAATTCTGTTCTATGGTAACAAGACTATCTATCATTGAAAGGATAGATACACACATATATACCCGCACATATATATACAAAAATAAACAATGCAAAATAATATAAAGTAATCACTTCAGTATCCAAAAAGTTCGACATAGCTGCTGTACTAGCCGCCAATGCGTCTTCATACTGAATTCTACACTCCTCAAATGCTTGATCCGGGTGAGCATTGGCTATTGTTATTTTACAAATTATAGTTCGAGTCCAAATGTGGATTATGAAAAAAAGAGGAAACAATAGTACAATACATTGTAATGATGCAATCATAAGGAATATATTGGCATAAACAAGTAATTTGAAAAATTTCGATGAATTTACACTTAAACAATTAATACGAAGTATAAAAGTTAGTAACTCCGCCTGTATTTCTTTTAGGGTTACTGTCGGTCCCAAGCAAGGATAAAGAAAAAGGGTTGGGTATGGGGTCAGCAACCTCATCCAGCAGAGAACAACCTTGTTAAAAGTAAACTAACCAGAACAAACTAAAACATTTAGACTCTGTCCTCCGAGTTGAAAGATCTTCATTCAGAAAGTTGTACGCCTCATGGTGAAAGCCAAGATTCTTAGGAAGTCACGAGGTTGATGCCCCTTCTAAAAACCAAGGCAACAATTGATATAGGTACATGAAATATCCAGACAATGTGGGAGACCAAGAAGATCAATCAACTTGTTACGAAATTAGGATACAACTTGGCGGTTCTCTAAATCAGCGAAGCCCATTGGATTCAAGCTGCACAGAAAAATTTAGATTCGGGAGAGATGCTGTTGTACTCCAGTCACGAAGAAGCACGTGAAACACTCATAGAATGAGTATCTCATCAACTCAGGATCATCAAAACATCCTTCAAAACAAAGCACCATACACAGACCTCCATATACATGTCACTCCAGCAACAATCAAACACATCAATTGTGACCATCAGACAAATCAACAATGGGAGAGCAGGAATACCTGACATCATACCAGTCGAAACACTGAAGTCACACACAGAAGCAACTGAAAACATTCAGGAAGATTTGAGAGGAAGGACAAGTGCAACAGATAGACTGGAAAGAAGGACAACTCATCAACATACAAAGGAATGAAGATCTGAGCAAATGTGACAACTACAGAGGCATAACACTACTATCAGCACCAGGAAAAGTTTTCAATAGTGTTGCTCAACCGGAGGAAGGACTGAGTAGACGCTAAAATTCAAGTTCAACAGACCGCATTCCGTAAGAACCGATCGTGCACAGACCAAACTGTGAAATTACGGTTCAACGTTGAACAATCAATCAAATCGAACTCGTCACTATGCATCAACTTTATTGACTATGAGGAAGCATTAGACAGTGTAGATATGAGGAGTTTATGAAAACTTTCTCGACACTATAAAGTGAGTAGCTGAAAAAATCGTCAATATCATACGGAATTCATACGACGGATTACACTTCAATTCCGTGTATTGAGGACAGCTGACAGACAAATTCCAAGCGAGGACCAGAGTCAAACAAGGCTGATTTCTCTCACTCGCTCTCTCGACTTTCTCTTTTTTCTGGTGGTTGACTGGATTACGAAGACCTCCACATCTAATGGGAAGCGCGGAATACAATCGACAGCTTGGAATCAACTGGATGATTTGGACTACACAGATTAGAAACATATAAACCCCACATTTAAATATCCTCTCTCATGGTAATTCAAATATGGATAGACAACTGTCCTAGATATGCATCAAACAGACACACAATTGTTGTTTTCTGCACACCCGATGGTCACTTTGAGATTGAAAGATAAATTCCATAGACTAGCCACCACTTTCTGTATATAACATTTCAACTGCTTATGTGGAGCAGGTGTGGCAGGTGTTCTAGGAATTAGTATTTTCAGGTTCATGAGCACCTCTCAGTGTGGCTAAGCAAATGTTTGGTTAAAAATGTTAACAGCTTGGTTTTGGCTGATCGAGTACAAACGAGAGCAATCATTCCAACAATTTATATTTATTTATTTATTTGAACACATAAATATTGATACAAGAGGGCACCAAATATATATGCGCCACACAAAACAATGAGAATTTAAAGAGAAGGAAAAAAAAAAAATGCAAGGAGCGTAAAAAAAGAGAACGATGACGAAGAGGTTGGTGTAAGGCAGTGTAGTAATAATAATAATGGGGGAACGGAAAGGTACAATCAGAAGAAATCTTTCAGTTAAGGAAGATACAACCACTTTTTACGAAGAAAGTAAAAGAAGGTTACAGCACGATCGCCACTGGCTTCTATTCTGAGCCATATCTGATAACGTCTATAGCCACTGTGTAGCACCATCTCTCGGACCCCAACCAGGGAGTCGTGAAGGGCCAACACAAGCCAGTCCTTTGAAGCTTTCTTTCATACCACGACATCATGTCATATACTGACCACCTCTCCGCTTTTTCCAACCAGTCCCAGAGTCCGCAAATAATGCACGACGTTGAATTCTCTGTAACGACACTCGTAGAACATGTCCAAGCCACCGAAGTCGGTTTTTCAAGATGGTGACACCAATTGCATTATCATCTCTGTGCTCGAACACACGATGCCAAACCTCTGCATTACTAACATGGTGTTGCCATTGGATGTCAACAATCCTTCGGAGACAACGATGGTCGAACACAGAGAGTCGTCTAACGTCCTCAACTCGGAGAGGCCAGGTTTCACAAGCATAGAGCAAAACTGCTCTCACCGATGCGTTGTAGATCCGACCTTTTACAGTCAGATTAACATCACGAAGGCGCCAAAGGTGGCCCAGATTGGCGTAAGCCGCTTTGGCTTTCACTGTACATGCGTTGATCTCATCACTCAAACCCTCACCAGCAGCTACCCAGATATTTATGGAAACCACTTTTCTTGCTTCGACTAACAATCAAATGATTCAAATTATTATCATAATTAAAGATCATCTTTTAAAAAAATTGTATCGGTCTAATCTGCCATATCATACAGTGATCATGAACTAACAAGATGTATACCTAAGGAGCCGAAGTAATGGTAGTAAGAAAGAATATACATAAACGAAATGAATCCGCAGAATAGAATTATGAAATAACACTAGAATTAACAAGGAAAAGATAAACTGTTTCGAATTTTCAGCTGTAACATCAAGTCTCGGACAATAGATCACGATTATGGAGTGGGCCTGGATCATTAAATGTGTCTTCAAACTACGGCTTAGATCAAGGTTCAGTAACCTCATGAACTCATGTTATTACTGGTTAGACCATCCCAAGATTCCAGACCACTCACCATTCAGTGCCAAGGTAAAAGGTGGTAGCACATACACATACGTGACCACTTTGGTCGATGGAGATTAACATCATTAACGATCGATTTGGGACTTTTACCTAGTGTCTCATTTTAACCCCGATATCACTCACTTGATTGGTCCATCACACACGAGCAACGCTTTGGACACATATACGATCATATGCTGCTGATGACCTACACAGTTTCTCTCCCTTTAAAAATCAGGTTTCACCATCACAAAGTAAAATAGAACCCTGAGTATTCACTTTTTGATAAGTTGATAAATGTATCGCATGCACCACAAATGGTGCAAGCTCGTGAAACCAGACGGAACCTTTCGATTATGTGTCTAAACGTCCTCAACTACTACTAACCCACGAGAACTGATGAGACTATGAAGGTAAATGGAGCCCGAATACTTTATTTCTAAGAGTGATACAAACCAGTTCTGAAGCAATACTTGTAAAATAATGTTAACTTACAATGAAAGATATTATGAAATTAACCAAATGCTCGAAAAACCAATGACAACTTGAGCAAGTATTTCTAAACTACATTTATAATTCGTTAAACAACTAAGCCAGCCAAATGAATATGATAAGTCTTATTAATGTGTGAAATGAAATTCATAGTTAGGAAAAATAACCAAATAAATGTATTAAAATCAGAGGTATATGAATTTACACACCAGCGAATAGAAAATAAATGAGCGTAATGATCATAAATCACCGTGATAAATAATAAAACATTAAAACACTCACTTGTGAACGCATCTAAATGAGGTTTTAGATACATGAATATCTTATAATTACCAAATTTCAGAGCGATATTTTTACAGATACATAATTTAAAAAGGATCAACATGTATACCTGTTTTGTAACTATGTTAATGATTAAATTTACCCAAAACAACTGCATGACCAGTAACAATAAATTATGTTTAAACAATGAATTAAATTGACACTAAATAGTACAGTGATAATAACATTTTATAGTGAGTTTATTTCAAGAAACATTACAAAATTAAGTGATACGATGACCAAGGCAATGAACCTATGAAATAAAACCGATTAATGTTTCAGGTATGACATGGAAACGTCAATCATTTTGAAAGCCGAGATTCAAGACCAACTCAGTCTGAAACATTAAGCAAGTTAAAATTGTAATTAGCAAATTTAAAACTACTAGTTCATTCATTATGTTGTTCAAGTGATTTTAGTGAGATCAATAAATAGAAGGATTCATAAAGAACTAGATTCAATATGTCCATTATTCTGGTATCCTAATTCAGTCATCAAGAAAATGAAACAATAGTAATCATAAGCATCGGAAATTTAAAAAAAAAGAAAATTGAAGGTGTATGAAGTTCAGTATAAAGATGATAAAAATACCTTTGTTTGATGTTTACTTTTAAGACTTTTGAGCTATATGTAAACAATGTGAAGCCTACATTTCTAGCGTCTCCTGCAAAATAATGAAATGAATACCAAAATATTTGTGATTGAGATCATTATCGATCCATCCATTTATACTATCTGTTTGACTTTATTATGAAAGATATTGGTTACGTGAATTGACAAAACGGTGAACGTGAGGGCTGACACGATGAGTCAGAACAACAGATATATACCAACCAGCTTGTACTAAGACCCTTAGTGACTTGACCGAACCTTGGACCATTGAGAAAAGAAAACAAAAGGTTTATTCTACGCTCATGCCGATGACGATGCAAGGTTAAATATATAAGCATTCATACATTTTTCGACATATCCTACAAAACTATCCGTTTAGGATCTATCGGTAGGTGTGGCGATTAATAATGTAAAATGATGACTGTGATATCTAAGTAATAGATCAGAAGTTGTAAGAATAGTCACAGCTTAGTAGTAACAACTCTTAGAAACTTACAAAACATGTGCTTCAAATGTACGGATTTCATATTTCCTTATTAGAATTGGATGAACAAAAAAACTGGTGGAAATGTGCATTGATCTTACTTTTCACTCTTTACATCAAAAATAACACGAAGGAAAATAAACAAGTGAACGACTGTAGTAAAAAAAATTACGCGAACGAAAAAATGAAAAATTGTAAGATACAATCTAATACATACTGACTAAATCCCGACGGAGGATAAATAATAAGAAAACTAAAAACCAATTAAGCAGAGTAATAGAAATTGGCTAAAATATAATGTGAATTTATAGGATTGACAATTGACATTGACAACTAACTGGTTAGCAACTTTTATGCTATCATTCAGAAAATTATTTATGAGCCTGTTTGCAGAATGTATCTGCTAATCAGATTACTATAATCGGTTACGTGTTATGAATAAGAAATATAATTCTCTTAATTTATCGTATCGTTTATCTACACAGTGAGGTTTTGAAACAATCCAAACAGATGTGCGAAAAAAATGCCATGAATAAAAATTGAAAAAAGATATGTAATTAATCATTTGAAAGGAATGAAAAACGTATAATTATGTATGATTCTTCACATCACTCACTTTTTTCTAGAACATTTTTTCTATGAGCAAACGTTAATCGTTTATTTTCAACTTTTTTTCGAAGTACCTATAAAAAATAATTAAAGTTATAATTCACAACAACAATGGAACACACAATAAATTGTTTCCAATATAGTGACTCTTAACTTTGAGCATATAATCATAAACATTTTGAAACTTCCTCATGATGATCCAAATAGATAATGTATTACAAGAGGAAAAAAGACAAATTAAAAAAGTATTTACAATTTTTAGTAAAACAAATAACTACTATACGGTCAGTCAGTTAGCTACAACGTAGGATCATGTACATATATGCATAGGTCCAAGTTGCCACACCTCATTAACACAAAATCAACACCAAATTCATACAAGTACTTACTTCAATGATAGTAATATATAAAAGAAAGATTGTGTATAAGGATATAATACAGGAAAACAGAACTGGTTCGTAGGAAAAAAGGTATAAAGTAATTTTAATCTCATGGTTTAAGGAAAGACAGAGAGTATATACACCGACGCCATCATGATCGATTATGAGCCATGTCACCCACAGTCTCCAACCATTGGTTACGATAGTCACGCAGACCACTAGCAAGTAGTCCGCATCTTCTAACATGGCTCAGACCAAAAGTAAGTTACTTCAATGACTGATGCCACCTTTTGGTTTGGTCACCCCTAACTTTCTTCCAGCCGTCTCCAAAACTAGTCAGTATTGTGCGTCGTGGTGAACGGTGTTCAGGCATACGTGACAGGTGGCCAAACCATCTCACTCGATGAAGATTTGCAATCTCATCAACTGATTTACCATCATTCTCTGATAGTTTGTGTCTAACCTCATTATTACTTACCCGGTGATCTCATCAGATACGAGCAATGTTTCCAAGGCATCTGTAATCAAATGCTAGTAACTTACGAGTATCTTCTACTCTTTATGGTCACGTTTCGCAGTTGTAAAGTAGAACAGAACAAACTGCCAAGCAGTATACTCGTCCCTCAATTGATAGACGGATACCTCACCTTCGTCATACGTGGTGACGTAAGTTGGCAAAAGCCAAACGGGCTTATTGAATCCGTGCCGAAATTTCGTCAGATACCAACCTATTAGGGCTGACCAGACTTCTGAGATAAGTGAAGTTGTCGGAGCGTTCGACTACTTCACTCTCTATCCTTAGTTCAGGTGTTGACGCAGGTCAGTCCTGAAGCAACAACTTGCACTTAGAGGGGGAGAAACGCATTCCAAAAATTCTGGCATTGTTGCGCGGTGCTACCAAAACACTCTGCATTTTACCAGCAAACAGGACTATGTCATCTGCGTATTTTAAGTCGAAATTTAGTCGACCAGAACGTTGTTACCGTCAGTACGTCTATGATGAAGTTGGACAAAAACGGAGATAGTGGACAGCTTTGACGTATGAGTACCGAAAACAAGAAGTGTTGCACATACATAAATCTGAACGGTTACAAGTGCGCCTATATCATTTACTCAATTACAAAAATAAATATAAATATGCGTTAAAAACCTACTGATATTTTCCTGATATCTCGGTGTAACCTCTCAGAAATTGGTTGTAAACAGCCAGATTTTGTTTCATCTACCGACTGATTTTTTGATTCAGCAATTTTATTGTATGCTTCTCCACATTGAATAAGTGCCAGACCTTGATGATATTATTAAAAAAAGAAACGGCAAAACACATAGAAATTAATGCGAGGTAGTATTATACTTTCTAGAAGTAACCAATGAGAAGCATATTCTGGAAACGTATTTGTATAATGCCATTCGGGAAAATGCAGGACACACAGTTTAGTATAAAACCAATACGATATGGTAATTTTATCTATATTAGAGTTGTGCAATGAACCCTACTTATTAAACAACAACAAACAATACTTCATACCTATTTAAACTTATTCAGATAGTTTTAGCTTGAGCTTGTAACCGACTGGTCGCAAGTCAATCAAATTACCAGGTCACAAGTGATAGTCAAATTAGTCGATTGCGTTATGAGATAAATGGGATGAGATTCATAATAGTGACCTAAGATACCCAATAATCCAATTCACTTTTCTACTGAGACAGAGGTTTTGGAATCGGTTTACTGGACGCACAACGTGTGAAAGTTATTTTATGTCACAGAAAGTATAGCTAAAGTAGTCTGCGGAAAGTTTTAAGGAAACATTTAACGCCCTTATAAGTAATCATTCTACAAAACCGTTGCACAAGTATAAATACTTGTCAACGCAAACTGTTGTTCACAAGTTACTAGGTGTAAACTGAATATCCATTTCCAGTTGAGAGAACTTGCACTTAGCTATCCAGATTTGCATATTACCAAGAGAATGACAAAAAGTATTAAAGTTGCGTGAAATACGATACGCTGACACAGTAATTGAGAGACGACGTAAATATTAGCAAAAACAACATTTCCAAAACATAAAAACTTACTCAAACCGGGTTGCTGACTTAATTGTTTTCCATACTCCAAAAAGCAGTCAGAAAGAAACCTCTCTGCATGAGGATAATTCTCATTGTTTGTGTTTCCCTGAATTTTATTTACGGCAGCACTAGCCCATGCTAGTTTTCGCGCATTAGGGTTAGGTTCTAAACAGTCAATAACGCGCTTTTGTACATCTTCATAAAAGGCTTTGTATGAGTCTATAAGCTTTTTAAGATTAAAAAAGGGAATGAAGCATGAGACGAAACGCTTATATAAGATTAAAAGTATGTTTATTGATTCGATTCTACAAGGAATAGTAAGCCAGTGATATGGAAAGCTAATGCCTAATACGGCAAGTAAAGTGCAACCTCCACGTTCAGTCACGGCCCGATTCTATATATTAAGTAAATAACGAAAGCTAGGAATTTAAAAAATGGTATATTAGTGATGAAAGTCGTTCACATTTTGTTTAAGCGAGAACTGGAAGCAAAAATCAGTCAGTCAGTCAGTAACAACGTAGAACTTCGTACGTACGTGCATCAGTTCGAGTTGCCACACTACATTAGCACAGAGATGCAGATGTCGATTCAAATCCCGTAGTGGTGGAGGTAGTAAGAGTATAAGCAGTAATCGGGAAGATTAGGGTTTGGAGATGTTATTTAAAGAGTATAATCCAGTGAAATAAATTTGGAAAGGGGAAAAAAGGGACATGAAGAATTCAGAAGACTAGAATTTGGGAGAACACAAAGAGTGTATGCACCTGCGCCATTGCAAACGATTTTGAGCCATGTCTTGAGATGGCTTTTTATACTTCAACGTTTCCTGAAAATTTTGAACCGAGATAGGCTATATATTGGTGATATTGAATGACGAGGAATTTTTTTGAGCGAAAGAAAATGACACGACAACTTTTACTCCGGGTATATGCAGCAACGACTGACTGGAGTCACATTTCCTGACCTAGATTCAGTATTTGGCTTCGTCCACCAATAAGTCTTAGAACGAATTCGCTTACTAGAGTATCTACACCTACACGTCATCAGACTTAGACCGACGACTAGAAATGAACCGTGTGGGGAGAAAAAAATAACTTGATAGTATCTTATAAACACAGTTCCCTTTGACATTTTGGAGGAAACAAAAACAAATAATTAGGTGGACAAACATGAACTTATTCTATTTCGTTAGGTTCTCATCAGATGCTTACATTCTGTAATATTTAAAAATCATGATTAGAAAACAGGTTGGAAATGTTCATACAAAGGACAGTAATAGCCCCAACGGGCTTTTAAAAACAGGAGCTTAGCTTCCCATCAATCATCTCGAAGTATTTTAAAGTAACAACCTAGTGTCCTGTGGCAAAGAATGTTTACAGACAGATCCATTTAAAGCATTTTTTTAATCGAACGTTTTTGGGAAGATATTCAAAAAGCCTAATGTAATCCCCTTTTTACTTAACACAACCTTCAACTAAACATAATTGTGTCTTCAAATTATTTGATAATTATGAATTCAAAAAACTAGAGGTTGTAAGTGGCTGATGAGAACCCAACAACCAGTCAAGGTTAAGCTGCCTGTGGCTCATTTCACGTAATGTATCGTAGTAAACAGTGAGTCTCGTTTTTCGTTTTATACGTTATAAATGAAAGTTCTAGTCTTCAACCACTTTTCATACATTTTGATGGCAATAAATGACTATCATCGTACAATCACATTCCAATTTCAATACAAAGTTTGCAAGCGTAATAATGCTTCATATGTTCGTTTCCCCTAACAGTTTACCAAAATCTTAGTCAAAATGGTACGAAAGTATTTTGAACCAACCTGAGTTAGTTGTTTGTAATCAGGACCCTTGTCCATGCCCTTGGTAGCTCCCAATTTTTCGGATAAAAACTGTCAAGCAGACTTCAGGGATAAGTCAAATTGTTTACCTGATTACATCGTGCTATGTGTTTCTTAATGGTAGAAAAAGACATCGCTATAAGTTTTCACTTGAATGTTTGAATGTAGGTAGTGCTATGTTTGTACGACTTCTAAAAGAGAAATATACTGTTGTTTTATATCCACAAAACCGAGTAGGAGACTTGGAATGGATAGGAATTGTGGAATTTGAAAGTTTGATAAGTAATTAAAAATGGAGGCGTTATTGGAGATTGCGAAACCGAACTAACAGAAACCAATCAGCTGAAGGCTTTTCAAACCAGAGAGCGACCTACAAATCATTCGGAATGACCTTTTCAAATTTCCAATACTCAATGTCTTAGTGACTCGCTTCTCGTTTTCTCACTACGTTCCTAGGTATGTCTGATGGGTGTAAGCTAAGCCACTGAACCAGCCATTTGATTATTATATGTGAGTTTGTATGTCTTGTAATGTATGATTGTTTTCGAGTCTTCAGTCTTCAGTAATAAGGATAGGAGGTCTGTCGACCTTGTAGCGGTAAATAAATCCCCAAAATAAATAGCACTAAGTTTTCGGCATTGGATGCTGACCATATGTTTTAGTGGACTCATCTAGCTGAAGGCGCTCGGTCAGGCATCTACACCAGATCACGTGTGGTAACGCCGTGCTCAACATCAACCGCAATCGCTAGCCAGATTAGATCAGAGAATTCAGATATATTGGTCATCGCCAAATATACTCTTCCAATCTCCTCGACTCTGTCTTTTGATTTCTCTGGGCGGGAACGAAATATATTAGAAGGTGTTACTGGTAGAAGCGTTGTCAAACACTGAATACCTGTGACATCATCATTGGTGAAACCGACGTGATCTGGTACACCTAATTGCAACTGTGAGTCTGTTCCTTTTTGGGATTTTTATATATCATTGCCTTATTTTTTTATTTTTTTAAACATTGTGATTTCTTTTCGTGTTTTTTCCTGGATATATATATTTTCCCCTCGTTCATTATCGTACTTCATTCTTCATCATGACTGAACAGACACCTAAAGTACTCAAGCTTAAGACTTTGTCCCCGCCTTCGTTTCAACTGATGCCTTTCTGGCCCGACAACATTGAAGCCTGGTTTTGCTACGCCGAAGCCGACTTCTCCGAGCACGGCGTGATCGACACACGTACACAATTCCTCGCAGTAGTCAAGGCACTACCGCGCGAATTCAACAGGTACGTAACACCTAGTATGTTTACTAGTGATGTTTCCGATCCTTACGAAATCTTAAAACGCTCGATTCTTAAACGAGGAGACCTAACCGATCGACAAAGGTTAGATCAACTCTTCAACAATATCGACCTGCAACATGGTTCTGCAACGGACATGTTGCAACGGATGAGAGAGGTAATAGGCCCAAGAATTTTCGACGAAGGCCTATTCAAACAACTCTTCTTGTCAAAACTTCCCCAACAGGTGCAAGCAGTTCTGGTCTCGTTCCAGAACAATGCCTTAGACGAGCTAGCTGCATCTGCCGACCGCATTTTAGAAATTACGAAATCTACTACCGAGGTATTTTCAGTCAAAGAAAAACCTCAAACGACTCAGAATGATATAAACGACTTATGTCACACACTCACGCGTTATCTTAGTCTTCGTAACGACCGTAAGAGATCGCGCACACCACGTAGAAGCATTTCTCGTAAGCGATCTGTCTCTAGACCACGAGAGACAGATAACCCCGACTGGTGCTGGTATCATAACCAGTATGGAAAGCTTTCCAGAAATTGCAGAAAACCCTGCAATTTTCCCAACACGAAACCGACTGATTCGAAAAGCAATTCGGGAAACTTCCAAGCCGGCACGCGTTAACGGCAACCGTAGCCGGCGAACATAGCCGTCTGTTATACGTCACGGATGTGACAACGAGAGTTCGCTACCTCGTCGACACTGGCGCAGAAGTTAGCGTTCTCCCAGCAAATCCTAACGACCGACTACACGAATCGACCCTAAACTTACAGGCGGCAAACGGAAAACCGATCGCTACGTATGGCAAAAGGTACGTTTACCTTAACGTGGGTTTACGCAAACCCATCCACTGGATTTTCGTTGTTGCAGATGTTTCTATGCCAATCATTGGTATGGATCTTCTACAACACCACAATCTGATCATCGACACGCGCAAACGGAGGCTAGTAGACGGTAACACTAATTTGTCCGTTTGCGTAACTTCTTTTACTGGTTGTAGAGTATCCCCAGTCACAGTTAAACATATGATAGACCCACTCTATCAACCACTACTCGATAAGTACCCTGAGATACAACAAACTCAAACGAAACTACCGTGTGTAACCAGCAAAGTTACACATCACATCACGACTACAGGACCACCGGTATTTTCTAAAGCACGCCGACTAGCTCCTGAAAAGCTAAGGTTAGCGAAAAACGAATTCGATCACATGATGGACTTAGGAATCATACGACCGTCAAGTAGTCCATATGCATCTCCGTTGCACATGGTCCCTAAAAAGGACAGCAACGATTGGCGTCCAACTGGTGACTATCGGCGATTGAACGCGAAAACCATTCCCGATCGTTACCCGTTGCCTCACATTCACGATTTGACAGCTACCTTGAAAGGTACAACTGTCTTTTCGAAAATCGACTTGGTTAAAGCGTATAACCAAATCCCCATGGCTACTGACGACATACCGAAAACGGCTATCATAACTCCCTTCGGACTCTATGAATTTTTGCGAATGCCTTTCGGTCTAAGGAATGCTGCTCAAACATTCCAAAGATTCATAGACGACGTTTTTCGAGGTCTCAACTTCGTACACGCGTATGTTGATGACTGTCTAATCGCAAGTCCGGACAGAGAAACACATCTCAAGCATCTGGATCTTGTTTTCGAACGACTTCAAAAACATGGCATAACTGTAAACGTTCAGAAATGCCAATTCGGAACCGACTCGTTAGATTTCCTAGGACACACTATCGATGCGCAAGGCATTCGACCTCTTAGGACCAAAGTGGCGGCCATTCTGGATTACCCAGAACCGACCACCGTCAAGCAATTGCTCACGTTTAACGGCCTGGTAAGTTTCTATAGACGTTTCATACCCAAATGCGCATTACTTATGAAACCTCTGACCGACCAACTTCGTGGAAATGCGAAATCCATTAATTTGGACGACAACGCACGAAAAGCATTCTCCACAGTTAAGGAACTGATTGCTAAAGCAACAATGCTCGCACATCAGGACACCCGAGCACCCATTAGCATCGCAGTAGACGCATCCGACTCAGCAATCGGAGGAGTCTTACAACAATGGGTTAACAACTCCTGGCAACCCTTGGCATTTTTCTCTAGAAGGTTGTTAGACACCGAATCGAGGTACAGCACATTCGGTAGGGAACTCCTAGCTATGTATTGTGCTGTACGGCATTTCCAACACTACATCGAAGGTCGTGAATTCACTCTTTTCACGGATCATAAACCGCTTACCTTCTCGTTAAGCTCTCCTTCTGACAAGTACTCTCCCCGTGAGTCTCGACAACTGGACTACATTTCGCAGTTTACTTCAGATATTCAACACGTCTCTGGAGCAAACAATGTAGTTGCAGACGCTTTATCTCGTATAACTTCCTTGAACAGTTTCCAAGGAATCGACCTTCTTAAACTCGCCGAGCTTCAAAAAGAAGACAGTGATCTTCAGCACGAGTTATCGTCCACAACACTTAAACTACGCATCAAACAGATGGGAACAGGTAAGGAAACCTTACTTTGTGACACATCTACAGGTAGGGATCGCCCAATCGTGCCGAAACATTATCGACGCAATGTCTTCAACACATTGCACAAACTTTCGCATCCAGGTGTTCGTGCAACCATCAAGCTCATAGCAGAAAGGTTTTGCTGGCCTGGAATGAATAAAGACGTGAGGGAGTGGGCACGCTCCTGTGTAAGCTGCCAAAAATCTAAGGTTATAAGACACAATAAATGTCCCTTAGGCTCGTTTAAAACTCCCGATGCTCGTTTCGACCATGTTCATTTGGATTTGGTAGGACCTTTACCAGATTCAAATGGATACTCTTATCTCTTAACCTGCGTTGACCGTTTCACTCGATGGCCAGAAGCAGTACCTATCAAGGACATCACTGCTGAAACAGTGGCCCGCACCTTCGTCGAACGATGGGTAGCAAACTTCGGCTGCCCTTCAACCATCACTACAGACCGCGGACGTCAATTTGAATCTGATCTTTTCCGTCGTCTGACCACTCTTTTAGGAAGCACTCGCTTCCGAACGACCGCCTACCATCCACAAGCAAACGGGTTGGTAGAACGTTTTCACCGACAACTGAAAGCTTCGCTATCAGCTGCAAACGTTTCACAGTGGACCGACGCTCTCCCACTCGTCTTACTAGGTATCCGCAATGCAGTGAAAGCTGACATTGGATACACTGCGTCTCAACTCGTTTATGGTACGACACTTCGACTTCCAGGAGAATTCGTGGATCCTTCATCCTCTTCAATGAACATGGATCTAACCTCCTACACGAACAGGCTTACAAACGCAATGCGTTCAGTTAAACCTGCTTCCACTCGACCTCAATCAACTGATGTTTTCGTTCAACCTGACTTACGACATAGTACACACGTTTTCGTTCGTCGAGACTCGCATCGACGACCATTCGAATCCGCATACGAAGGACCCTTCAAAGTTCTTCAACGTGAACCTAAGTACTATATAGTCGATAAGAACGGAACCAACGATAGCATCAGTATCGATCGCTTAAAAGCAGCGTATTTAGAAGGAAATCCTATCTACGTGGATTTTCCTTCGGTACAATCGAACGACACGACTCCGACACTTATAATACCTCATTCGACAACCAACACACACGACGATACTTCGACAGTATCCGAAAATAAACTTAAAACGACGCGTTCTGGAAGAAGAGTGAGATTTCCAGAACATTTAAACGACTATTGCACGTAAGGCACTTCTAGAAATTTTATATTATTTTTTTTTTAAAAAAAACAATTTTAACATGCTTATGTATTTTTATTTCTATTTAAAAAAAAAAAAACAAAAAAAAACAATTTTTTTAACGCTATTACGTGTTCATGAGTTTATTTTCCATTTTTTTCCGCCGACATTGTGCTTTTACGCACATACGAGTGTATTTCGACTTGCACTTACATTTTCTTTTTTCTTTTCCAGGACGGCTGGAAAAGAACGATGACGTTTATGAGGATCCGAAATTTTCATTGTACATTTTCTTTCTTTACTATGTTGTACCTCCGTCTCATATAGTAAGGAAAGACGACCAGACGCTGCTAAATTTAGTAAGCTATCAGAAGAGTGTTTACCAACGACAAACTCGTTGGGTTTAAACTTCTGGCTGGCCACGTCTTAGGGTCGTCACTGCCCCACTAGGGG